CCTGAAATGGCCACAATGCCACAACCTCTCCGCCAGCCCCTCACCAGCTGGGGCAGAGCTGCTCTCCCATGCCCACGGTCCAATTTTTAAAATTATTGCTGAAATATAGCCTATGTTTTCATGCACACACTTGAGAGAACTAGCTCAGGAACTAAATGCTGTTCTCCAAACTTTCTTCAAAAATAACATGCTGCTCTGAGCATAAATAGGACACTTTGGGACAGGAAGGGCTTTTCTAACACAACAGAAAAAAAATGTGTGGGGGGTGTGGAGGGAGGCTGAAGTAATTTTATGATTCTCAGCCCTTCTTTTGCTTTATATTGTTTATCTAAGAAAAAGAAACCAGCATTCAAGCACACTGAGCAGTCCCTTATTAGAAAAACTGAGCTGAAAACAAGTGGCCAAAATGGGATTTAGCAACAAAAAAGGAAATTCTGGAATTTCATTAAACCACAAACTCAAAAACCCAAACCTCAGTGTATACATACAACTCCTATAACAATGGTGTCTCTATGTTGAAGGCACAGTTAAATCTGGAATTTTTACTGACCCGAAAATCAAGTACTGAATTCTCCTTTCCAACTCGTAATGAAAGCCAATATTTTACATAACACGCAAAGCTTCAGTTTATATTTTACCAGCCCCCACCAGGAACGTCACACTATCCTCTATTTTTCTTCTTTGGGGCTTTCTTACTTACCCACCCAGAAACAAAATAACTGTGATTTTCAGCCAGCAGGAAGCCAAATCTCAGGCACACTTCCCTCGGCATTAAAGGGACTACACACAGGAGCAGGCAAAGAGCCCGGGAGCTGCTGCAGAGAATTTATTTATACCCATTTGGAATTTCCTGACCAACTAGCAGCCTGCTGGCCACGGGGTTTAATCCCAGGACTCGCGGCGTCAGTGAGACAGCAAAAACTACCAAGGAACAAAACTGCTAGCGAGGATCTTGAAAAACAAGAGATGAAGACAGACTTCTCCCACGCCCCCTCTGACTTTTAAAGCTACACTAACAAGAAATGCAAACCTAGACAAGCAGCTGTAAATCTGCTAATTCTAGGAAGACTTATAGAAAGGTAGCAAAGTTTCCTTATTCTTCCTGCTGACTTATTTCCTCCCCTCAAACCTTCGAGGGCTGAGAAAGGCTCACTGTTATAATTTGAGCTCTAACTCGGCAGCCTTCTTATGAAGGAAATGATTCAGTGTTATGCTGAACCCAGGCTGGGCTGAAGGCGAGTGGTTCCTTTTCTTGGTGTTTTTTAGTGTATTCTTATTTCATGCAACATGCAATTTGAAGGCTAAAAACACTCCCATTTGTAAACCACAGATCCAAACTTTCTCTCTCTCTCTCTCTCCCTTTTTAAAAATATTCCCTTACACATTTTATCCAAATTAGGTCATGTGACTTTCTAAGACAGAATCAGTTCCCAAACGAATGCATTCTGTTTTAGGGTGATGATACCTTTGAGCACACTTTTGTTTTGGTGTAAAAAAAGTTAGTAAGAATGCTATGTCCCTCTAATGATTTCGGTTCACCACCTTGAAAAAAAAGTAAGAAAGAGAAAGAAAAAGAAAACTTTCTTTTAAACTGTTCATCACCTGTGCTTAAGATCACTGGGTAAATGTGAGTCTAGAGGAACGAGATTTACTTCACTCTCTCCACAGGACAAACAAGCAAAGCCAGTTCCAAACAATAAAGCAGAGATCAACAAAGATTAGGGATGACTCTAAATGGCTGGCTTTGTGAAGTTCAAAACAGGGGACAGCTATGCAGAGAGAGACGAAGTTTACAGAAATCCACTGCATTTGCCTAGTGCGACTGGCTGATGTCAGTGTCTGCACCCCTCCCCCGTCCAATGTCACTCCATGTACCTTCTCATTCCGTTCTCCCACTGGACATCCGGTGGCCGGATACCTTAAGTTGCTATCTTTGGGACGGACACTTTTCTGTGCGAAACTACAAAGATGAAACTTTTAAATGATGATGTGGGACTCATTTAGGTTTGTTTTACACCAAATAAATAACCTGATTCAAAGGGAAATAACAAACTAAGAACAAAGAGCCAGATACTTTGAGATATAGGGTCCGAAGAATTCCAAATTATTTTACCCAATAACATCAACATTAGAGAAGAGATTTGAGTTAGGCCTATTTTTATCTTTTGGAGGAGACTTAAAAAACTTTACTGAGATTTAAAAAAAAGATTTTATTTATTTATTTTTAGACAGAGGGGAAAGGAAGGAGAGAGAGGGAGAGAAATATCGATGTGTGGTTGCTTCTTACGCGCCCCTCACTGGGGACCCAGCCGTGTGCCCTGACTGGGAATCGAACTGGCAACCCTTTGGTTTGCTGGCTGGCTCCCAATCCACTGAGCCACGCCAGCCAGGTGAGATATTTACATATCATAAAAATTCACCCATTTAAAGTATACGGTTTGATGAGTTTTAGTAAAGCTGTGCATCTGACACCATAATCCAGCTGCAGAAAACATCCATCATCCTTCAAATTCCTTTGGGCTTGTTTTATCATTTACTTTTAACAGAGAAATCTGCTCCTCTCTACTTTAGGAAAATTCTGGTATTATTTAGTTACATTATTATACTCCGTACTAGGTATTAATATCAAAAGAATAAAATTTTAAGAATTAAATTTTAAGAATTAAACTGAGGAAAGCAGGAGAATGTCATGTTTCTTAATCCTGCAAAGAAAAACCCTGCTAAGTTTTTATTTTATATTATATTGTGTTCTGTTAAGAATAGAGCTTAATCCTATAAACCAGTCGAAGGTAACTGTCTTGTATGCCTGAGTCTGTGAAGGAGAGGTCTAGCAGAAAAAGTCATTGTGTGCCAGTAAAAGCCTTGGCCTTTTATGGAGGGAATGACAAAGGTTGGGATGGGAGGAGAATTAACAACAGGAGCTCCTTCAGCCTGGAAACTGTCAGTCACTAAGGTTCCCACTGTAAGGAGAAAGACACACCTGTCTGCCTTCCCTCTCTCTTAATTTATGTATGTACACAACAAGAAGCCAAATGCAGTCAGGGAGGATGAAGATGAACCCAAGGTTTTGCTTCCGCTAGGTGGATGGCTGGCAGAACGGTGACTCCCAGTGAGAAGGACAATGGACTGGGGACAAAAGACTTGTGTTCCCGGGCTGGCTGAGCGCACTGACAGCCTCCGCTGGGTGGTGGCCGTGGAGTTCCGAGACTGCAACCGAGCACATCTGACCCCCTTCTTCCTCAGTGCTTACTCAACAGGATTACTGGACCAGGACTTTTTCTCCAGAGGGCCTGAGTTAAATGGGGTAGTGACTGTAACAATGAATTACATTCTGGACATCTTAAGATGCATATATCCTGACATGCCCAGAATTTACCTTCCTCCTCCCCCTCTTCATTTCTTTCTTTTTTTTAAAAAAATCCTCACCCAAAGACATTTTCCCATTGCTTCTAGAGAGAGAAACATCGATGTGAGAGAGAAGCATTGACTGCTTGCCTCCCATATATGCCATGACCACACAAGCCCCAGACAGGGGATATCAAACCTGCAACCTCGGTTTGTGCCCTGACCAGGAATGGAAACTGCAACCTTTCAGTAAGGGCACAGTGCTCCAACCAATTGAGCCACACCAGCCAGGGCCCTCTCCTTGATTCTTAACATCCTACCCAGTCTCAGAGACACAGCACACATGCACCCAGGCTACCAGTCTCGCAACAGCCTCCTTGCCTCCTTTGCCCCCATCTTTCTCCACCATCCACTGTGCATAGTTCTTCAGGACCGCACTGTTCCAAGTGCATCATTACATACATGAACTCATTTACTCTGCTCAACAACCCTGAGGTAGGTATGATTACTGACAGTTCGCAGCTGCAGCTCACGTCATCCATACTGCTACTCTGCTGCCGCCGCCTACTCGACTGCTATACTGACACTACACAGCACTGAAAAGCCACATGCCGGGCACATTCTTTCCTGTAGCGCTTAGAGGGCAAAGAAAGCTGGGGAAGGGGAAGGGAGCAGATATTCCTGATGGGTGGGGAAGAGAGAGAGCACTGCTGTTTCAATGCTTTTGCTTATACCATTCCTTTCCCTTCTGATGTACACCCCACAGCAAGACTTCTCAGACAAAAGTCTTCCAGTTTGCAAGGCCCAGCTAAAAGACTGGTTCTGTCTGAAGTCGTCTCTTATCCTCGCAGCCAACTCTTCCACCCAGGCTCTCAGAGCAGCTTGATTTTCCCTCTCTTCCGATCTGTGCACACACCTTACACCTCTCCAGACTTACAGGAGCTTTGTCTTTTTCATCTCCACTAAAGCCCAGTTAAATTCAGTCAACTTAACTTTGAGTGTTTTCTTTAAAAGAGCTCTATGAAAATGTCAAGGACTCTGAGTCCAGGTCCACATTTAACAGCAGCAGCAGGACACTGGCCCAGAGGGGTGAGGGGACTAACATCACCTTTGCTGTTCAAGGTAAAGGTGCCAAGGCTGGAACCTCCCAGAGCAAGCAGCTCGATGCCACAAATTCTCAACCCTGCCACACGACCCCACCGCCTGGGCCTGCTTCTAAAAGTGCTGAGTCACACCCCCCCCCAGCCCAACCCCAGTGAGTCAGAATTTCCTGGAGTGGGGCCAGAGGCATCAGCGATTTTAGAAGCTCCCTGAATGAGTCTAGGCCACAGCCTGGGGTGAGAACCTGGGCTTGAAAACAAGCAAAATCTGCAGCTCAAAATGTGTTCTTCCTTTAAGCTTCAAGGAAGCTGAGAGCCAAACTGGGGGCAGCCCTTTAGGCAAATCAAATATCTTCTGGGTCACAAGTTCAGATACCTTTGGAGTCCAGGCCAGTACTTGAAAAGAGGGAATCTGCAGGGGGGAGGCCAGAATACTTGTCCTCTCCAGTGGGCTGTGGCCAGACAGAAATAAACACCCAGTGAGGGGACAGATCTTTGGACTTTTCAAGAGAAGCTGAAGACACAAACAATAAAATACTTAAGAAAGAGGAGAGGTTGAAGAAATTGGTATTTTTATATGAAATGACATATTTATAAAATTTTTGGCAATTAATTCAAAATAAAACAAAACTTTGAGTCAGTTGACCAAAACACACTCCCAGGCTGCAGCGGGGCACCTCGGGGGCACCCACCCAGCAAGGACTTTATGATACTCATTCGGGATCTGATTTCATTCCTGTCCCTGTCCCTCTCCTTTTCCCACTAAGTGACCAACTTCTTTTCATTTTAGATTCCGAGAGTCCTTGCTGGAACGAACTGTAACACAAATTAGAGAAACAATTTTAATCCTGGTGCATATTAACTTAATCTCATGTTTTAAATTTGGTTCTTTTACTACTCAGATGTCTCATTTAAAAAATAAAGACACAGGCAAAAACCAAAGCAACAGCCCAGGGTCCCCACCACCATTTCTTTCACAGGTGAACTTAAAGTGCAGACCCCCGACCGGTGCATACTCATCACAAAAAGAACGGACTGAAAGCAGGATGCTCTACTGCCACTTTTAAAGAGGGCCTGAGTTATTTCTGCTGTATTTGAGACTCCTCCCCAACCCCTACAGAGTTCAAGTGCCTTATCATGCTACTTATCTCCTCTCAGACTTGTACTGGGTGCGGCACCAAAAGCTGGGCGTCCAAGGCGACCACAGGGAGAGAGAAAAGTGGGCGCAGTTCCTGTCCATGTCGCCACCTGCCTCTCCACCCACATCCATCAGAGCCCAAGGGGCTGACTGGACTTGCAGGGGATTACGGGGGCAGGTCCCGCAAGGGCTCCCAGCTCTTTCTTGTCCTGTTAGGTGTGTACAGTGTTGGGTGTTGGAAGAGGACTCCTCCTGTGCACAACTGGCTTAGAAGAATCCACTCCTAAAACAATGCTCAGGTTTTTCTTCCAAGGAGAGGCCACAGTCAACACGAGGAGGGTGTGGGCCCCAGCGGAGGTGTGTGACTCTGTTCAGGAAGGTGAAATTCGGGAGAGGATGCTAAGGATGATGGGGCTATCTTAGGAAGCCAGAACAAAACCCCTGTCTTCATTATACCTGACTAAACAAAGCGCATTTCCCCCAACATATTTAAGCCTTAATATTGGAGTCACAACGGATCTCCATACATTCAGCTTTCTTTTCAAAAGACAGAAAAGGTTGCCCTAGGATTATTACTTTTACCAAATTTAAACAAGAGGCCATCATACAGTATATGTTTTCAACCAAGATCTGAAGTCAACATTTCACAAGGCAAATGACAAAATGACTTGGAGCGCGAAGCCAAATTAGGGAATTAAAAGTTTTAATCAGATTACCACAAAGACTACAAAGCTGTAAACAGTGACTGATAACAAGCAGTTTCCTCCTGTCTGCAAGGGGTGCTCAGGCTACAGAGATGGTCCCAAGAAAACTGTGGGAGAGAAGGAAGGCAGGCCAACTGGCCACACTCTCGCCTGAGACGTCACCAACTCGGGCTCTCACCCAGTTTCAACCACCCTCCAAACCAGGCTAGATAATAGGCCAGGGACCAATGGCGCCGAAAAAAAAAAAAAAAAGAGGCCATGGGAGCTAGAAAGAACTTTCCAAATGACTTGTGACAATACCGTCCCTGGACAACCACATTGTATCTGGTCACCTCTTCCTGAAACCCAAAGCATGTAACAGACAGTATCATGTGGAGCCCACACGGAGCATGTGATAGAGAGAAAGCAGATACTACAACTTCCATTTAGTCAGAGGTAAGAAGAGGAAGGAAGCAAGTGTGTGTGACAAAGTGGAAGCCACCTGTTCCTCCAGAAAAAAATGTCCAGGAGAGCAGGCGGGGAGAACGCTCCAGAGGGCGTTCACAGTACAAAATTGGCAGCTGGCAGGGCTCACTTCCATCCCTCAGATTCCCAGGCAGGCACTGTGCCCCTGGTGTGCTCTGCATCGGGGACCAGCATGGTGCCAGTGCAGAGTCGGGGTGCTGCACCGTTGAACACTGAGCACGTTTCCTCTCTGTTGAGCACTAAGCAAGTGGCAATGGGTGTACCAACATGACGATGACGTGCAGCCTGGCCTCCTTAGACCTAAAGCTTACGCATTAGTGAGACGCACAACTACAACTCTTAACTAAAAGCAAATGATGGCAAGTGTTTAACAGGATACAAAGCTCTCTAGGAATAATGAAGAGGAGGAGTCACACTTGTTAAAAGGGGTGAGAGAGGAAGTAGGACCTGAAGGGTAAGAGGACTTATTTAATAGACATGGGAAAGACTTCCAGATGAAGGGAACAGTGCTTTAAACAGAGCCACTAAGAGGAGAACACAGCAGAGTGGGCCAGGGAACAGCAGCTGGGAAGGGGGTGGTATGGAAGACCCCACTCTTTTCCTAACTCTTGGGAGAGAGCTAGTGTCTTGCTATCAGAGAGAGCTAGGAAGGCCCATCCCGATTTCTGCAAGCATCAGGATTGAAAAAACAGAAATAGACTCTGAATTCTATCAAAATAGGGCCAAAAAACAACATCTCAGAGTTAAGGGAACAGATTAAAGTTAGTGAAAGATAAAATGTTTGCAGAGACAGAAAAAAATAACAAACGTATAGAAAGCTGAGTGACCCTTAACCTTGCCAGCCACCTTAACAAACAGAACCACAGAGTAGTGGGAATAAGGCAAAGAAAGACCAACTTTCACAGGACCTGAGAGTTGGTCCATTTTACAAAAAAGGAAAACAGCTGCCTTTCTGCCAAATACATGTCTGTGCGACCATTTAAAAGTGAGCTACTGAATGAATGAACTGGCTGAATTCACGTATTTCTACTGAGTTATGAATCACTCCTTCTGGGAGTCCCCAAAACGACACCCTGATTTAAATTCACCACTATTTGGAACGGTTACTTTTTTTTTAATCAGCCAAGTGTCCAGAGGACAGAACATTAAAGAATAACACCCCAGAGGAAAGCCCCCCCAGCTCTAAGCCCACTTTTTTACCTTTCTGAAGATTTTCTGGTCTTAGGTTTCTTCACTTAAGATCAGTATCCTGAGACAGCGTCAGTCCCAGCAGCTGTTTTCCAGTGCCCAGAGAGCATCCGTCCATGCACCCCTCAGAGGATCCACAGCTTGTGTGTGTGTGTGTGTGTGTGTGTGTGAGAGAGAGAGAGAGAGAGAGAGAGAGGGAGAGAGATGCCAGGGAGGGTAGAAGGCAGTGCTCGGGGCCTGCTGGGACTCCTTACGGGACAAGCTGGCAGAGCCTGTGATGTGCTGTGACTGTTTCCCCTCACACGGCCAAACAGCCGTCCCTGGAACAGACTTGGAAGCTGTGGAAAGCGTAGTGCTAATGGAAAAATCTGGTGGCACAGGACTTCGGTGTTTTGCAATTTTTCCTGTAGGCTGCATTGCTGGAATGGATTGACATGCGAACCATTCCCTCCTCCCCTCCCGGCCTAGAGACTTCCAGGCCTCCACCCCGGTGTGCTGTAAAAACCAGTGCATCATCTGGTCTGATTCACTCCTGGAAGAGGTGGAGTCCCGGTGCGGGCACAGGCTGCATAAGCCGGCAGGTATTCTGCCTCCTCTACCAGGTCAGTGGAAGACAAATCAGTCTTTGTCCTCTGGTTGGAGGGGAACACACCAAACAGGCTGCCTCAGAAAACATTTCCCTGGTGTGTTCCTGTGTGAATGAAGCATCCCAGCCACTCTATGCTGGGGAAGAGGAAATAATGAGCCGTGTACCTGGTAGGCATGCAGAATTGGATGAGGGGGACACTGAGAGCAGACAGCGTGAGCTTTTTGGGATTTTAGTTATAAAAGTGTAAGAGTTGACGTACACGACTAGGTTTTAAAGATATTAAGCAGCTGGATTATGAATAATTAGAAATATCACATTTGTCTCCCTCTTTTATATTGTACTCTGGGATTATTCTCCCCTTTTTTCTTCCAGGAGACTCTTAAATGTGCCCACTGGACAGAAACACTAAAAGTGTCTTGGCGCAATGCACACCCGATGTGAGAGAGAAGCCCTCAGAAAAATGGGCAGGGATGGGAAAGTCTGGCAGGACAAGCTGAACCAATGTTTTCATAAGAGCATTTGCAAAGCTGATGGGATTTATCAACTAAACCAAACATTATGGGACTAAATTTAGAAAATCACATGACTATCTCTTGATTCTATCCAATAAAAATCATGTCCAAAATACAAAAGATCCCTCAGAGAAAAAACTTTTCCAATTAAACAAAATCATCAAAAAGAACCTAAAATAAACTTGGTAAGTGTGACTATGAATAGCTAATGAAGTCCATAAACTATTACTCTGGTATCAGCTCCTTTAAATAAAGGTTCACATGGTCAAACTGTGACCTTGTTCACAACCTTTGACCCAGCTGGGAGAAACAGCACAGACCGACCACTCAAATCTGGTTCATCACCCACAAGACGGGGTAAGAGTGGCACGAACATTTAACTTTCAGCATGAGAACAAATATGAACCCAACCATTTGTCCCTTGGCCTGGTTCTCCCTCATGTCTATAGTTCTGCTTTTCTATCTGTTGCTTGGAAAGGCCTTCTGAATATTATATAATAACATTTAATCCGAATTTTCAGCCATGGCTTGCTCCCAAAACTGCTAGGATTAGAAATCTAGTCACTGTTTTTTTTTAATTCTCCAAATAGCGTCATACTTATTTTTAAGTTGAGAGATCACTAAGGTTATATATACCAATACAAGTGGGCTGCACAGTTTCAACCTTCTCGTTCTCAGGCTTCACAATGAACTGCAATCAAAAAGCAGAAGCAGGCTGAGCCTCTAACACGCCAGCATACTTTTCCTCAAGCATATGGAAATGAGTAAAGCAGTTACAGCTCACTCCAAAAATATCCAGCAGAGAAGCCAAGAGAGGAAAAATGGAAACATCCATTTTTTTTTGAGTGAGAATTTCTAGAAGTGTTTGAATGGCTCTTATTAAGTCTGATTTCTTGATTGGGTCTTCCTTGAGGTTTTTGTTAGAGAAGCCTACTCAATGTAATTTTAATTAAAATCTGTTGCCAAAAAAGAGCAAGAATTTACGACTCCTGTGGATGAGAACCAGGCTAATACTTTTCATGGCAGATCAAAACAAACAGTTTTTTAATAGGAAAGGACTCCAAAGCAGAGACTGACGGCTTTAGTCACTCATTTTCCGAGCCCATACAAACCTTTCTCAGAAACCACACAAAGGAGATAAACTGGAATTACCAAGCACACAGGAAGAAGGCAAACTCTGGAAAAGGAAGCTAATTGAGCGATACTCGTGATGGGCTGAGCTAGCCCACCCAACTCCTTCAAGAAAGAGAGGAAGTGCATAATCAGAAACCAACGCCAATACTCACGACGGGAAGTCTGTGGGTGAGCAGGGCACAGCACATGCAAATCCTGGTCGGAAGGGCCATTTCCACCCTTTGCCTCACTGTGAGGTCTCAGAACCACAGTAACAGCTCAAGTCCTTAATAACCAATCTCTGTACTGGGCTTTAATTTTGTGTTTTTTCTTTCTTGTTGGTACCCACAAAGCCATGTGGGCAGAAGTCTCCAACCCAAGGGCATCTTTCTGGTACTCACTGGGAGATAAGTCATCCTTCCTTCCCTTAGCGGGATAGCTAATCGCCTGTCTGAAATCCAATGCTTAACCCATTACAACTCACTCAAGGTCTGGAGCAAGAAACCTTACAAGGCAAAGCTGGCTACAGCTTGGGTTAAGACCTGAGCCTTGTAAACAGCCAGGCCCCAGCCAGGCAGGGACCCTTCAGTACCTCTGAGGGGACTGGGGATTTGTTCAACCAGACAGACAGGACTCGGAAGCCCACGGTCTAGTACTTGTGGGCATTTCAACAGCTGTGAAATTCCAATATAACTTAGCTACTTCTTAAAAAAATACAGGTATCTTCTCATATACCATCACCATAAGAAAATAAATTATTTCATGTATAAACTTCATTGTAAAATTAGCCTTCAATAAACTAACAATTTCTTTTAATGTTGAAATGTATAATCCAATCAAATTCAATTTTTAAAAACATCAAATAATAGGATAAAACTGCATGGTACTCTAAATGCATTAAAAGTATTAGCCATGTTTATTAATTTGTCTCTACAAAATAATGCACACAAAGAAAAAATAGCTGCCAATGTAACACCTATCATGACGGACATTTTATTAACCACTCTAACTTTGGATTTTATAAATTTTCTGAAACTACATACTTTCCCTTGATTTGTTTAATCATAACTTCACAGATATCACACTTCTGATTTTTAATATCAACAGGGTGCCTTAAACAAAGAAAAAAAGGCTCTCCATGTTGAACGTCTGGCTTAGCCATTAACTGTGTGAGCTGGACAAACAGTTTTTGTCATCTGAAAGTAGGGCACAGGGAAAATCAAAAAGACCCCTCCTCTAGCCCTTCCAGCTTGTGTTCTACCCTGCCAGCCCTCCTGATACATCACTGAACACACCATGTACGGGAGAACGCAAAGCACAAGTATGAGCACACACTTACTCCCTTTGCAAACGGAATCAGGAGACCCTGGAGGGCCATGACGGGCACCCACAAAGAAAAGCAGCCCTGGTTTCTAATCAGCTCACCCTGTGCCCTTGAACTAATGCTGATGCAGACGACAAGTCTGAGACTCACCACTGAGAACACATCACCTCTGCTGTGCTCCGGGACTTTCTTTACAGATGGTCTCAGAAAACAGCAGGTTGGCTCCAGCCAGACCAGTCAGTGCAAACTGGTCTTGTACTTGACAAACAGCACGCAATTCCTGCTGTCAGGGTCACCGCAGTGGGCTCAGAGCTCTGTTTGAGAAATGCTCTTGCCCAGAAAAAATATTTACACAACCGAGAGTGGGCCGCACCGCGCTGCAGCGCTCCACCTGCTCTGCCAGGAGTCTCTGGCTCTGTCTGACCGACCAGGGGCATCAGTGGCCTTTGTACCTTTATTTAACATCAGCCTGGCGACAAAACCTGGAGCCAACAACGGACTAGGGTCACAAGGGTTTTATGAAGTGTATTTCATTAATTTAAAATGATGGCCACATTTTAATGCAGTTCAATAAGGACTTTAATAAGTAAATTATGTATCTGTCTGGAAGATATAACTATATATGTGTATATACACACATGTATATGTATAGGTACATACATATATATATATATTCAGGCTGTGAAAGAGAAATAACAAGAAAAAACTGAAATAAAATAGCAAAGGCAAGTATTAGCAAACATAAAGAAGGTGTTGGCGGGCACTGAAGTTGCTCCATAATGCTCATCTATCTATTTCATTTAACTGTGACACTCAGGACAGCACTTGCCCCAGCACTGCCGTATCTCCCAGGGCCTGGCACGATGGCACCTGTGTGGTGTTCATCAGGTCAGGAGTGCACAGCAGAGAGAGCAGGAAAAGGACAATGATGTGCGCTGACCTCAGACCAACGCCTCACATCTTAACACGTGTTTTCTTTATGACACTTGTTTTATTTTTTTCTCACAACAGTCCTGTGAAGAAGATAGGACAGATATTATTATCTTCATCTGACAAATAAGCTACTTATTATTTGGCTTCTCAAGAGATTCTAAGCTGTAATTAAAGTTTCACAACATTAATTAGTGTTTAGAGAGGTATCAATCAGTGCACCTAGTTTACAACATGATTCAGAAACTTGGAAAGAGTTGTGTCCACATCCCTAAACTCCACAGAAATGTGGTCGTTTACCTAACCACTGACCCCCATTTACTGGCAATGAGCTACAAGAAAAGAAAACAGACATGATCAATTTATGACACTCATATTCATGACATTAACAAGTAATATCAGGATACTCTTAGAAACACCATGGTAAACTTGTTTAAATCACTAAGAAACTGTGCCAGTCTTCAGAAGTCAGATGAAGGAGCGGGTGAAAAGAGGTGACACTGACAAGTGTCCCGTACTGACAGGGTGCACAGAGAGAAGCAGGAGGCGGCAGGTTGCCAGGGTTAGCAAATAAAAAGAGGACACACAGTTAAATTTGAATTTCGGGTAAGCAAAAATACTTTTAAAGTACAAACATGCCCTCCATTCGATCTGGAGACTCCGTCCACGGGAGACCTTCGCTTCCACTGGAAGGCAGGACTCCGGGGGGCGGGGACTTCTGCCCACCTGCTTCACTGCCCTGTCCCTGTGCCTGGAACACTGCCTGGCTCGCTCAGGTCTCAGTGACATTTTCCATGTATGGTTTATTTCTTGGGCTAGGTAGTAGGTATGCGGTGCTTATATACATAACCTTCACGCATTCTCTATGTCTGAAATCCATCGTAATAAACTTTACAAAGCACAGGATTAACTAGCTGCTCTTATTTGCAAATCAGCACCTTTCATCCGATCTAACTGAAGGACTCACTGGGGAACCAGAGTATACAAGGCTTGTGACTTGCCCCTTTCCCGATTTAAACTCTAACCTGGGCCGTGAACGTGGGGTGATCGTCCTCAGACGGTGTCTGCGGCCAAGGGCACGGTGTGGCCAGGTGCTGTTGTTTTTGGCTGCTCTACTTTTGCTTTTATTTTATTCCTGAAACCACGATTACTGCCTCTTGCGCTTCTCTTGCCAATGCTCTGACCCCAGCTTCACCAGAGACTTCTCCTGACCATCTGCGGAGCCCACGGCAGCGATGATTCAGGGGAGGGGGGAGAGGCCCCCTTTGGGCATAACGCATCTAGGGAAGTACAGTTTTAAACAGTGTATTTAACAGTGTACTTTATCTTTGGAAAATTAGAAAAAACATCATTTACTCCACATTTAAAATTCCTAAACTACCCAAATAATTTATCTTTTCCCCATGCTGGAAAGACTAATATCCAGCATTCATTAGCTGCCCCAAAGCCCTCCCTTATCCCTTCTTATCTGGGACCTGTAAAGGCTGTGCTAATTACATTTTGAAATAGTATATTTGTAACCAGCATATACCTGTACATTGTCTGAACTTGACTTTTAAAAAAAAGTTAAAATTATTTTTATGAGCACAATCTCAGCTATGTGAAATATATACAATTTAAATACTATTGCAAAATAAGCAAAACATTTATTTCTCGGTGACAGTATTATCAGTTATTCTTGCTTTTATTTTTTTAGACAATACTACATGTCCACACTTTATGTTCTATACTATCATATATATGTACATATACTTGCATGTATATGTAGACATAATGCATTTATGTTTAGGTATCTATACACGTGTGCCATTAATTGTGTATGACTGAGCCTCTAATCAGATTTGCTTACAGGCTCAGAGAGGTCATGGTGGCTAAAATAAACAGAAAGCCTTCCCTCATTTGGTCCAGATACCTGCATACATTAATAATCCATACCCTGAAACCCAGAAGTGACAAATTAGAGAGCTTTCCTTTGCATTCAAACTCAGCACCCAGACCCGACAGGTAGGATACAGGTGAGGAAGAGAGGTTAGAGCCAGATTATCAGACTTCAGGGGCAAAGAGAAAAGACACACTCCGGAACAGTCAAGTTATAAAAGGAATTGGGGACGAACAGGGTAGATATACAAACCCTTGAAGACAGATCTTGGCCGAGACCCCAGAGGGTCGAGGTCTGAGGCCCCAGCAGCTCCCAGCCCGGCTTCCTCCGTGTGTGTGAATGGAAGAGAGGGCAGGAAAGGCAGGGAGGTCACAGCATCACAGGATTGAGTGAAACTCGCCCACAACTCTCAAGAAATTTCACAATGTTTCTTTCAGTCTCCTTCCTTATCAAGTATTTCCCTAGAGAAACACGTACTCTGCGCTGCCACACGGGGACGGTCGTGCTGGTGGTGACGATAACAGTGTAATCTCAAAATCACTGTGAAGATTATGATTATGATAATGCAGGTAAAGCACATTGGGCACCACAGTACACAGTAAATGTCCATCAGATGTTAGGTATTGTCCTGAGCAGAATTTAGAAAAGTCCTAATAAGTTGGGCAGTAAAAAGGACAAGCAAAAGAATGGAAGAAATAAAAAACTGAGTTTATTTGGGTTTGGTCTTTGGCAAACTATCGTATTCTTGCCAGAGCAGAACCTTGCAGCTGGGATTGCTGGGATAAAAAGTCACATACGAAGTGAGACTCCCAAAACCCCCCAAATTATCTTCTGGAGGGTGAGCCCCTTGTAGTACAGGCTTCCCCCACTAGGTGAGTGTTCTAGGAACCCGTCTGCATCAGCGTACGAGCTGATGTTGTTGTGAGAGGCTGTTTGGCTTCAGTGAAATTTTTCTGGAAGATTCTTTCAGTGCATCTGCCCGTTTCATGATGAGTGACTTATGAGCGCACCTGCCCAAAATGCACTGGGTAT